AAAAAAACGATTTGGTTCTTGAATATTTCTATTTCATATTGAGTGGTGGATAATAAACAATTTTTCCGTGTAAAGGTAGGTACACATTTTAATATCTGTTAAACTAGTATACGTTATTGTATTTTTAATTTCAGGTAACAAAGTCGGAATGTACACATCATTGCATTAAACAATATAGCAAACATCTTTACAACATAAAGAAGAACACTAGAATCGTTTCTTTAAAGGCAAGAAAATATTTAACAGGTGATATCATACAAAAATTGGTAAAGGCAGCACAATTAGCGGTTTACACTAATAAAGATGGAAGCGTTGCACAACTTAAACAAGATTTAAGAAATAGTGTAACACATGTTTTTGGTAATCATGTTAACTGCCGAAGAGAAATTTGCGATATTAACAAACATTCCGAATTCACATAATCAGGGGCTCACCACCATGTATACGCAGCATTAAATTTACTTTTAACAAAAGCACACCTTCTTTTAGCCAACGAAACAACCAACAAAGCAGAATCATTTATGAATATTATTGCTCGTTTCAATGTGGGAAAACGATTAAATCTCATTAAAGGAACGGTTTCCAAAGTAAGTGTGTTTTGAGCGCTCTTCGTTACAATAATGGAGTTAATTGGCCATCAAAATTTAGAAGTAATGCTTTAATAGAGAAGCACCCCATTTTCTAAGAAAATTCGTAAATACTAAGGAGCGTAACAACATTAAAAGAAAACCTACTGTTAGAAAAAGTAAGGCTATAAAAAACCAAAACCATCAGAAACAACGGAGTACGGATCTAATATTGCTGAGGTAGACATATCAGTGATGAATGTCTTAAAAAAGAAGTTAATAAATTAATCGACCGACTAAAGGTATTAAAATGAATATTACGTTTTTACTTTTTACATGATTTTATATTTAAATATTTTTAGGTGACGAGTAAGCAACAACAAATATCAGAAGAAACTATAGGACAGTTCAGCAACCCAAGATACTTGGAGGAAAGAAGATTTCTACTAACGGCTTCTCATTTTGTGGAAGTTGCCAAAAGAAGGGCCCGTACTCAATGCGATTGTTTGGTAAAAAAAATCTTGACAGACAAACATTGGAATAACTACCCCAGCAATTGAGTACGGCATACAAAACGAAGGTGTGGCTATAAACAAATTTCAAGAAGAAACTGGCAAAACAGTTATACCATCAGGGTTATTTGTTAATGTGCAATAATTATTTACGTATTATAACAATAGTTTACTAACTTTTCTATTTTTTAGGTTTAATTAATTCTGATGAACTTGTCGAGGTTAAATGTTTTTTAAAAGTAGCCACATCTAATCATTCATTGAGAGAGGCCGTAAAGAAAAAATGGTTCCCTGTTTAAGAATTGAAAATGGTGAAATTCATTTAAAGAAAAACCACAATTACTATTATCAGGTGAGATTTCTGACTACATTTCAAAGTAATTTAATGAAAGCTATATTTTCTAACAAATTAAAAATTATTATGTTTTTAGATTCAAGGACAACTCGGTATCTCACGAAGAAGAATGTGCCTTTTTATAGTTTATGTAGGAGATAAGAATCCTCTTTTTACTGAAAAAATATATGTTGATGATTTTTTTTTTAAATCTAATAGAGAAACTGAGAGTTTTTTATGAGGATTGTGTGGGTCCGGAAATAATTTTGAATAGAAGAGGTAGAAAATTAAAGTGCAGAGATCCGCCGAATAGTAAATAAATTATGTATTATCTTTTTAAAATTAATAAAAATGTTTTTGTTTTAAGTCTTTTGATTTTATTTAATTTACTTATTTATACAAAATTTCGTGAAATACAGGTACCTAGCTAATCTGCTAATAATGCATATCTAATTTATTTTGATTTGTTTTGAAATTCTTTATATTTAACTCATTAAAACTAAAAAGTGGTACTTTTATTAAAGGTGTATATTTATAGAGGTTTTATTTATTTTCAACATTTTAAAATTTTAACACATTCGATTATGGAGTTACCTACGTGAAGATTATCTTTTTCTATATCGTTGATGTAAATTTTTGTTATTTACTCATACACTATCCCGTTGGGATAGGAAAGTAAAAAAATAATAGGTATATAAACTATCCTATAGGGATTATTTTTTTAGAAGCAAGTGATCTAATTTATAGGTGTTTCTATTTTATCTCTATTATAATATCTATATACCACAGTAACGAAAATGAATAGAGTGACTAATGCGATACCGAATCTTAACTACCACAACATAAAAAGACTACTATTGTTACTATCGCTGTTATATCTGCTTATAATAGCAACTCTATTCATTTTCGATACTGTAATATGCACTACTTTAAAGTTAAAATATTAAAAAATTAAAAAAAGGGTAACTACATTGTATTTATTATTAAAATTTAACTTATTTTTAAAACCATCTTATCTAAACCCAGCTGCTCATCTAAATATCATCACTCAACAACGTAACCAAATTAAACCAGGCGATCATTGCTCGACTGTAAATTAATATCGCACATTCTATATTCTTTTTGTCATTTTATTAACTCGTTTTAGTGAAATTATTTTTTTAAATACTACAATATATTTAAAAAAAGAAAACATTTGATGTTATCAAATTTTAATTCGTTTTTATGCTGTAAAAGCATAAACGAAATGTTATATCTTTTTGATCCATCTATGGAAGCAGGGATAAACTAATTATTGATTATTTTCGGAAAGTGAGGACGCCATTTTTAGTCCAACATTTTTTTAATATAAAATGCAAGCCAGTTTTCATTTATAACTATTTCGGAGGTCTGAGCCTTTCCGTATTTTCCGATTGAACGATTTGATAGGAAAATGTTTAACTTAGGTGGTTCAAGGTTCCATTTTCAGAAAATTTGTAGTTTATTCTTACAATGAAAAAGGTCTAAAAATAGGCCATTTTCTACCACACGTTTTTAATAAAAAACAATTAATTTAAAAAAAATCAATCCTGTTGATCTTCCTAGTAAAGGATACCGAGTGACACTTAGTGATGTTTAGGTCCATAGCAATATTCGCACACCACTCATCAAGTCTAGCCAGATCAGACTGAAGGTCATCAGCAAAGCATACAAATTTGGCAAACTTGAAACATTCTGAGATATCATTTATAAATACTAAAATAACAAAGATCCCAAATGGGACCCTTGGGGCACTCCCGATGGATTGGGAATGTTTTTAGATCCGTAATGATTTAATTTAACAGTTTGGAATCTTTCAGATAAATAACTCGCCAATCATTGCAATAATGTTCCCATGATCCCAGCAGTCTCCAGTTTATTCAACAAAAGTTTGTGATTGACCCTGTCGAACGACTTGGAAAAGTCTGTGTATATGGCATGCACCTCATCACCTCCATCCAAGACGTCCGACAGATAGTCAACAAAAGCAAGTAGATTTTTTGTTAAGAAACCCAAATTGTTCTTCTATTATTGATAAACTAATTTAGATCTTAATTATTAAACAGCTGCTATCTTTTCAAACAACTTTGGAATGGAACTAAGATTAAAGATGGGTCTATAGTTGGATATGTCTGCTCTGTTGCCAGACTTGAAAATAGGTGTAAGATAGTTCACTTTCCAGAAATCTAGGAATATGCTCTAAGCAAGAGACTTATTAAATATAATGTGAAGTGGCCGCGAGAGAACAAAACTACAAAATTTGGGAACAGAAGGGGATACCATTAGGTCCTGGTCCCTTGGTAATGTCAATACTAGCCATCTCTTCATAAATGGTTGATATAGGAATAACATACTCAGATATAGAAATGTGATTAAGTGACGGTTTACTTTGAGGATCAATATTCTTATCAGTATATACTGACTGAAAGTATTCTGCAAAAAGATCTGGTCCCAAATGACATTGACTATCATTAAAGAATAGCAATGGTGGTAAATCATTACCGTTTCGCTTACTCTTAACAAAATTCCAAAACTGTTTTGTGTTTCTATGGTCTGTTAAAGAAGAGTCAGAATTTACAATAAACTGTTGATAGCACATTTTTGATAAAGTTTTACAATCAGAACGTAATTTACTATAGTTGACATAATCGCTTTGTAATCCTGCTCTTTTAAATTTTTTTTGAGATTGTTTTTTCAATATTGTCAGCTGCTTTAACTCTGGGGAGAACCATACTGAAAATTTTCTTTTGAAAGCTTTTTTCTGTGTAATTATAGCATTGATAAAAAAAAATAGATAATATCATAAACGATATTAACCATATCATTCCCTGAGTGTAGTAATAATAAATCATCCCAATTTACCTGACCTAAACAATCGTTAAAAAATGAGGAATGAGACTAGCCAGGAACAGAAAAAAATTGATTTAGGAAGAGAACTGATCCGAATCCGACGCCTGAAAAGTCAGAAGCATACAAGAAAAAAATTGTGTAAGCAAATTAAAATTACAAATAAAAAAAAATATTGTTTTATTAATGTATATTAAACTAAATTCAATTTTATTCCTTTATATTTAATATTATCTATTGATATAGAAATTCTTGATGTCATAAAAATTGTTATCGAAATTGAATTATACTGAGGTGTTGAAGTTTCTAGAAAATAGGAACAGTAAGATATAAATAGATTGTCAGGGAATTGAATATAAAAAGGTCAGACGGGAAAATAAATGGTATATTAAAGTTAGAGAAGTGAAATAAAGAGATTAAAATAAAAGGTAAACATAATTGTATTTAATTCAAAGCGGAGGATCGCAGGAAGGAGAGTTAAAAGAAGGAACTGGTAAAAGAGGTAAAAAAATTGAAAGGACACAGGCACAGACGATAGAGTAAGGGGAGACAAGGAGCTAGTGGGAAATTGAAAAGAGAAAGAATTTTATTTTTTTTATTTGTACATTTTTAGAGCCAAACCACCCTCTTTGAGAGTCCTAAAAAAATTTGGAACATTGATATACCTACAGGTCATTTCACTATATTAAGTATAGCGCAAGTTCTTATCATATAGGTACTTACCTTTTCTGTATCCAAGTTCTTCTTTCTGTAACTGCTCATATAAACCAGGATAATCTTCTCTAATATCTCTAACTTCTTCTTCAGCATCTTCTTCAGATTGCCATTTATCAAAATCTATTTTTAACCAAGCTGGCTTTTGAGGTTGAGCAGTTAGCCTAGGCCACCAGCCCTTTTCTGCTTTAAATAATGTTAAGTCTAGTTTGTGGTCAGTTAATTTTACATTTTTAGACTGAAAAATATCCATAATTGGTCCATAAATGAATGACATGAGAAAATGTGAAAGTTTTAAGATAAAATCCTGAATAAACATGATCAGAGCTGGGCAGAGTACTGCATTAAAGTACTCATGAGTAATGCACACCAAGTAGCTTCACAAAGTATTTATAAGTATCTGACTATGAGTACTTATATGAATAATACTCCAAGCAAATGAGTATTTTTGCAAATTTTAGAGAGTACTCATGAAAAATCGAGTAACAAGTATGAGTAGGCTAAATAAATCTAGTTAGTGACTCAACCATAGACAGAAGGAATTAGTACTTAATTAGTAATAGTAAGTCAGTAAGTAACAAGCACTCACCATTAAAGTATAGGTACACCTAACTTTTGCATTTTAATGTTAAAGTAAAGTAATAAGGGTATTAGGTAGAGGTAGAAAATACTCAAAGAACAGTTATATATTTTAAAACTATATGCACCAGTGGTATAACACTACCAAAAAGAAATATAAAAATTAACTAAGAAAAAATATCGAAATATTGTAGCTTCTAGCTTCCAGTAACAACAACAACACATAACACAATAAAAAATAAACACAAAGTCCATTTCTTACCTATCCTATCAATCTGTAAATGAGTATCACTAAATACTTTTCCACTCCCCAAACATAAATTCTCAGGATTTTCCATTTATGCTCATTTACTTTCTTTCATGCTCAGGGAACGTTCTCCAAAAATACATGCTTGAGAATTTTACACCACTAGTCACAAGTACCAATTACTGTGTACTTTGAGTACTTAAGTACAATTTTGAGTACTGCCCAGTTCTGAACTTGGTTGTGATCAAAATTTAAAATACCCATTTAATCCTGTATAAATGATTTTTATAGAGTAGGTATATTTTTAGTAAATTCCAACAATTTTATATTGTTTGTAAAAATTTTCTTAGACAATGAAACATTTGCTTTATCTGAATAAAAAAAGAGAAAGAGTTCTCCTATGAATTTTAAATATCACTTGAGAAGAGTTCAATGGGAATAGAGAAAATGTAAGCAAAGGTTTGAAGAGCTGAATTACTGGGCTGATGCCCTGTATATAACAAAAAGTATTGTATTTTTTTAAAACCTCGATTGTCAGTGTATGTACTTTTGATGTGTATATTTTCAAAAGTCCTCCATAACTCGCTCCTCTCTGCTACTATTATATTTTCGGTATTCTAGCTATGCTTTCCTTAGTCTGTTGACTAAATATTGTTAAAAGCGTGTCGACATACTGTAGCTTTAAGAGACATTTTTGTTAATTTTATATTTTCTTTGTATGTCTAATTCACATTTATTTGGAATCTATAAGCTGTCAACTCAAACAATCCTCACAGGTGGGAGGAAATTCACAATAATCTACGTCCAACACTGTCAAAGAAGGAACTTAAAGTATTTTTTGATGTCCTTATATCAAAAAAAGAGTGACGAAAATAAAGTGTGATTTGCAGGAAAACTATAGGAATGTGAAGATTGGTGAGCACAGAATAAGAGGTACATTATTTTTTAATAAATTGGCTCAATAAATAATTGCCGTTTCTTTAAAATTAACACCTAAAATTGACATATTACTGGCAACCAAACACTAGTGAATAACAGTGACACTCTTGGGTTAATTGACTTTTATGTAGATACCTCAATTTTATAGCATACATTTTGTGAGAATGATCAAACACAAATATTTAAATTCAGATGTGTACTGTATTTTAATTATCTACCCCATTTTCTAATAATTATCCCTTTATTTTTTAAGCATTAGGTAAGTAGTATATGTACTTACATTTTCGTCTAAATCTGAATGAAAATCAATAGAAAACTCATAGTTCTTTAAGCCCTGTGCACCGATGCCCTTTGATTGAAAGTATAATTTCCTTTTTTCTAAAGTAATTTCAGGTGCCTAAAAATTATAATTTTAATCTCACCAGGATAAAAATCTATCATTTCATATTCCTTACTTTCACATCCTTTAAATCGACTTTTATGAATAAACTATTTTCATTTTGAGCCCAATAAACAAAAGGACTTAATACGGTCATAGTGAACAAACTAATTTAAATTTAATTATAAAATATTTTTATTTTATCTACTATCTTAAGTTTTAACTTTTCCATATGATTTTGACATTTCACAGAAATGATTTTCAAAATTAATTTTTCACAATTTCATTGGTGCGAGTTCCGAAGAGGGCAATCGCCCTACATCGTTGCCAAATCTTACAGAAAACGTAATATCGTCATATTTAATAACTCTATATGAAGAATTTATAAAATTGAGTAAGTTTGCATAATTATATCAAACAGGGCATTACAAAAACCTGCAGTAAAAGAATAAAATGAATTATTTTGTAGTATATAGAATTTTATACCCATACGAAATATTTTTCATTGAATTATGTACCTGTACCTAGATAGGTACCTACCTATAAAAAAGCCCAACTTAAAATGTCACACGCGAGGTATTTAAAATGACAACGACGATATATAAATCAAATAAACAAAAATTATGAATTCAAATGCCGCGTTTGAGATTCCACATCGGATGCATCTGAGATGTAGTAAATCTTTGATCACGTGATTCAGTATACGTAAATGTAATGGGACAGATGTGTCCGATGTGGATAAAAAAACGCTCGAGATGTAAAAAATGCATCCGATGTGGATTCTCAAACGCGGCAAAATTAGACTTATTTGTTGAAGTACTCAGTTTTAAGGTAAAAATGTAAACATTCGCCCTTCGAATTCCTTGCCCTACTCGTTCTCTCCACAACTCCACTTATTCTTCTTCCATGCTTCACACATGACACATCTCGTAATTAAATTATTTAGGACTGATTCCACTGTTGTGTTAAACGAAGTTACATTAAACAATGTGATTTTAATCTCTGTTTAACACAACGGTGGAATCGGCCCTTATATACTTTAGTGCTGCTCGTTGTACGCATAGTACCTACGCAAGCACCTAGAAAGTATCTAGAAACCAAATCTAAAAAACAAAATCTAGTAAAGAAAAATCTGATGTGTCCAACACATGACTTTCCTATCTAGTTATTATAGGCATTTTCCGGTTATTTTGTACAACCTATTGCAGCATCTCTATAAATGTTTAGAGGATAAACTAAATATATACATTTTACACATACATTTACCTCGACACATTTTTCTATAGATATTCATTGAAAACGAAAATACTGAAAAATTTAAATTTATCACTTTTCCATTACGGTCCATTTTAGAAAAATCATGTATAAACAAAAATTATAGAAATCGATATCGCAAACAACTTTTAGTTCAACAATTTTCATAAAAATCAGAATTTTGCACATTTTGTCAAATTTCTCGAATACGGACCATTTCAGGAAATTTTGACATAAAGCAAAAATTATAAATAATAATATTAGAAGTAACTTTTATTTGAACAATTTTCTTCTCCAAACATAAATAACAGATATATTCCATAAAATATAAAAACGGCCTCCCATAAAGTACCCCCCCCCCCAGATGTACCGACTTTGTCCAAAATCTAATCATTTCACGTCAGGCCGAAATAAACCTTAAGTTTAAAATTTATTGTTTTTTTCCTTTATCCGTTTTTGAGTTTTCTTCAAATTTCGAAATTTACACATTTTCTCAAATATCTCGAATACGGTCCATTTTAGAGAAATTATGTATAGGACAAAAATTATAGATAATTATATTACAAACAACTTTTATTTGAACAATTTTTATAAAAAATATTTTTTTTACATTTTGTCAAATTTCTCGAATACGGACCATTTTAGGAAAATTTTGTATAAAACAAAAATTATAGATAATTATATTAGAAGTAACTTTTATTTGAAAAATTTTCTTCTCCAAACGTAAATAACAGATATATTCTATAAAATATAAAAATGACCACCAATAAAGTACCCCCCAGATGTTCCGACTCTGCCCAAAATCTAATCAGCTCATTGGACGCTGAAACAAAGCTTAAGTTTAAAATTTGGTGTTTTTATGTGTATCGGTTCATGAGTTATGCGTTATACAGACACACACACACACACACACAGACACACACACACACACACACACACACACACACACACACACACACACAGACACACACACACACACACAGACATCATCGCGAAAATAGTCAAAACGGATTCAGGGGACCTCAAAACGTAAAAATCCGTCGAAAAAAATCATGATTCCTATACTTTCCTTATATCTGTATACAGATAGGAAAGTAAAAATGGTGAGCCAAAATGATTTGTTAAAAAATATTGAGCACAACCAGATTCTTTTGGTACCATTTGGCAACATAAATTTACTTCGTATTTCTTCGTATTGCAGCTCGCACTAGCTTTGTCACTAGAGATTTGATGAGAAAAAATAGAAATTTCAAATCTACCCCAGTTATCTCTTCTTTTTATGGTACTATTTTTGATATATCAGGCTTTTAGTCACTTCTTTTAATTCATATAAAATGCAAATATAAATAAAATACAATTGCAGAAAAAATAAAAGCTGTCTGAAAAAAATATTTATTTTGTATAAAACAATTATTTGAATTACAATGACCCAAACGTCAGAATCCTGCAAAACTGGTTGCCTACCTCTTGTCTCCGCATCAAATTATTTGTAAAATGTCAAAATATTAAAACCAGTGCAGTGAAAGTGACAGCACATTTGGTTATTTGGCAAATTATGTGAATATTTAATTTTAACAGTAAAAATAGGTACTTTTTTTATAAAAAAATGGCATTTACACTTTGGAATTTATTTGAGGCTAGCTTGTTATTTTTAAATGCAGTATGTATATTAAACGAGGAACGGTTTTTAAGCAAAAGTAAGCATTTGTTCTATTCTAACCTAAAAATTATGTTTTAACAAATATTTTATTAATTAAAAATAATACCTATCCTATATCCGTAAATGAAGTTACCTATAGCAAACAACATTTATTCGTATTTAAAATTCAAAGTTAATTTTTTATGCACTTATTCCTCATATTGATATTTTTAAAATTTCTGACAAAAATAACATTTATAAGTTTATTGCCTTCACAGTATATAGACGTCCTGTTTCTTTGATAAATCCAAAATATTATTTAAAGGAAACTTGTGAGTTTAATTTGAATTGACAATTTTTGTATCAAAGTAACTTAAATGTATTTCATTGATTTTTTAGATTTGACTTTTTTTATCTTACAGCCTCTCATGTTATATTACAATGATTCTACCCCATGGAAAGTCCTGGTGACTAGTTAGTATGCCATGACATGAATTACTTAATAACAGCTTAGTTTCCAAATGAGGAACACTATTGGATTCTACCATTTTCATTTTTTAATAATTCTCATAGGGATGAGTTCTCAACTACTTTAATAGTGGTTTAACTACCCTTGTAAATATTCTTTTGAAGAAGTTATTATTGTAAATATTCTAGAACATTGCTTCAATGTATTGTTGTTTATTGGTTATTGCCTGGTCAATTAATTTAATCCAGTAACGTAACCAAATTAAAATAGATAAAACCTCATTGTTTTCACATTTAACATTTAGCTGAAAAATGGTTTAATACACTTTCAGTTGGTTGGGGTTCAAGAGGAGCCAACGTTCAAGGTTTTGGAGAAAATCCTTCAACAAAATCACAGATTTATAATCTTTTTCATTCCATTAGGACAGTGGCAAGAAGTAAGTTAATTTATAAATATTTTAACAATTTCAATTATAAGTATTAAGGAATGCTTTTATGGTGCTTTTACTTATGCATTCAATGAGGAGTTGAATAGAAATAATTGATGATTGCCACATTAACAGAAAATTGTATGTGTGATATCTAAACTATTTATAGTGTTTTCATATAAAATACATTGAGTGAATATGCAGAACTCCAATAGTTGTATATGTTAGATTGTATCATTATTATGTTCAATCATATGTTCAATCAAGCGAAACCAAATTTGTCAAATTATTTACATCATCAATCAATTACATTTCCTACTCTGTTTGAACTGATCAATCAATGATTATAAGACTTTAAAATTATTAATCAAGTAAAAGAAAGCATAGGGATTTAATACGAGTGCATTATTAGTGATATAAAGTGATATTTTCTTTAAAAAATGTTCCTGAATGCATTAGTCAAAGCAACTCCTTAAAGTGGTTTAGAGTAATACCTACTGAATAATAGGGATCTTTAGGGACATAATTTATTTTTCTATTAATATTCAAATTCTTTTTTAGTTCCATTGATTTTCCTCAACATAGTTACAGTAATATTCAAGTTAATTCTCGGATGACACTAGATTTTACATTAAGATAAAAACTTTTTCATGTATTTATTTTTGTAATATAATCTATTATTAGATGTTCTAGTTTTCTTTATAATTTAGATGAATAATATTTGTAATATATTATACAAAACAATGCATCATCACTGCAGGAACTTGCTTTAGTATACAGAGCGTAACATTTAAACCAACTTTTAATTTGACAAATAAAAACTAAGGATTTTTTGAAAAGTCGTCTTTCAAGGGGTTAATTTGTTATAGATACATATATCTAAAAAAGAATGTAAAAGATAAATTTATTTCTCCAAACTAATGAAAAAGTGACAAAATGTACAGTACGAAAAATGTAGCTGAAGCTGCCTAGGTTATATGTATAGTGAATATAAGAGGTTTCTCGAGGTGATCACTTGGAATTTAATACATTACACTCGAAGTTGTGAATTGTGAGACGTTGCCAAAAATCGCGTTCAATTCTAATTAAAATTGGACAAGTTTAGCCTCAAAGACCAAATAAGATAGAGAGGGATTAGAGCATGACTGAATAATGAAATGGCTCGCATTAGAATAGTCAACTGATGATGCCTTAATCGTCGAAAGCGCTTGACTAATTTTAAATAAAGTGAAATAATTGTTTTAAACAATTTCTCCAATACACTTTAAATAAAAAATGTTTCCTTTTCTCCTTCGACTAGGTAATAAAGAGAGGACGCATAACAAGTATATCGAGCACATGTAGTATTCTGTGCCGATTATCTATTGGCCGCCATTATTTTGGTGCTTAGCATTTCGGTGACACCAAAGTTTTTGTTCATGTTTATTTTTGATTTTTAAATTAAATGTTATTTATTAATTGGTTTATTACAATGGTTTATTGTATGGCATATCAGTGTAAAAGTTGTAACGGCAAGAAAGTAATAAATATATCTTCATTTATGTACAATTTTTCTTACTATACCTTAATTTAATAATACCCAGATAGCACACTACATCTTAAAGACGTCCAGTTCATGTCTTACTTTCGTCCAAACGTCATGTTACGTAAAACGGACGGTTTTAAGACGCCCTGCTCAGGACATGTTTAAAACATCTTTGTTAGGATGTTTTTAGGACGTTTTAAATATATCGGTAATGTGGTAATGTATACTATTTTTAGCGTCAGTCTGTGGACATCATTACTTTTTCGTGGTGTGTTTTTATATATTGTCTTTTTATATTATTTATTTGCCATTATTGGAACTGTGGTATACCGGAACTAGTAAACTTTATCATTAAAAACGGTAATTTTTAATTTATATGCCTTTTAACCTCACTTTAATAATGTCTTATTTTTTATAAAAACACCTTAAAACAAAATTATATGCTACGGGGACATTAGTTACAGACGCTTTGGCTAAAATTAATACCATAGAAGTTTTTAAATCGACCAAACTGGAAAAAAGTAGGATTTCCGGGAATAGTTTCTCATAGCAACAAGTACTTAAAGTAATTTTCTAATTATTTTATCCAACACTGTAAAATAATATTTACTCTGTCAATTTTAATAGTTTAATAATGTATAATAAACAGTAATAAATATAGTAGACAAGTATTCATTAATTTTTTTAAACGAATTTTTATCAATAGACTGCTTAAACACGTCCAATACGGTTTGTCTTAAAGACGTACAAAACTGGATGTCTTAAAGACGTACAAAATTGGATGTCCTAAAGACGCCTTGTTTTGTAACAATGTACATCCTATAGACGCCTTTAAAACATCTTTTGGATATTAGCGTACCTACATCTTCAAAACGTCACGAACATCGTGAACAAACGTCTTTAAGATATCTTTAAAATGTGTGTGCTATCTGGGTAGTGTCATTCTTTATTAATTAAAAATAAATTTAATAAATTTTTGTAATAAATGTAGATCATTTATTATTTTGCGCAATTAAAAAAAAAAACACTTTTTATTATGTAACGATTTCATTCAGTTTATTTCAATATATTTTTTTCTTGTGTCTTATTTATTGTTACTTATTATTTTTTTTTTAATTTTACGCTTTAAACTTGCTTTATACCTAAAAAGATCAATAAAGTATTAATAACACAAATACAAGATCGTTTTTTTATTTCCAGCATGTTACGCCTTTGGTCAAATATCGTTGGTGTCAGAATGGAACAAGATTTTCAGCAACGTTATGAGTCCTCTCTTTATTAACCGACTTCAAAAAAGGAGAAGGTTCTCAATTCGTCGCGATGTTTTTTTTTTATGTATGTTCAGCGATAATTCTTTAACATGGTGTCCGATTTCAATGATTATTTTTTTGTTAGAAAAGGGGTACTTCAGGGGTGGTCCCATATAAATTTGGTCAAAATCTAATTGGGTCCATAAGAAATTCCTCAAACTCTTCATTTTTCACGTATGTTTAGCGATAATGCTTTACCACCTTGTCCTATTTATATTATTTTTTTTGTTAGTAAGGGGGTACCTCAGGGGTGGCCCCATATAAATTTGGATAAGATGTGGTGACGGCATCTGCACGTTTTTGAAGTCGGTTTTTTTAAATTTTTAATTTCTAATACTTATTACCTAGTCTAAGGTACACACCTACACCTCCCTTGACAAGTATTAGAAATTAAAAAAAAAACGACTTCAAAAACGTGCAGATGCTTTGGAGTGAGGGTAGCCACTTACACTTAATACGTGCAGATGCCATCATCACATCTTAACCAAATTTAAATGGGACCACCCCTGAGGTACCTCCTTACTAACAAAAAAGTCTGATGTGCCCAACACATGACTTTCCTATCTAGTTATTATAGGCTTTTTCCGGTTATTTTGTACAACCTATTGCAGCATCTCTATAAATGTTTAGAGGATAAACTAAATATATAGGTTGTCCACATACATCTACCTCGAAACATTTTTCTATAGATATTCATTGAAAACGAAAATACTGAAACATTTAAATTTAGCACCTTTCCTACAATTTTTCCATTACGATCCATGTTAGAAAAATCATTTATAAACAAAAATTATAGAGATCGATTTCGCAAACAATTTTCATAAAAATCAGAATTTTGCACATTTTGTCAAATTTCTCGAATACGGACCATTTCAGGAAATTTTGACATAAAACAAAAATTATAGATAATAATATTAGATATAACTTTTATTTGAACAATTTTCTTCTCCAAACATAAATAACAGATATATTCCATAAAATATAAGAACGGCCTCCCATAAAGTACCCCTCCAGATGTTCCGACTTTGTCCAAAATCTAATAATTTCACGTCAGGCCGAAATAAACCTTAAGTTTAAAATTTAATGTTTTTTTCTTTATCCGTTTTTGAGTTTTCTTCAAAAATTCGAAATTTACACATTTTCTCAAATATCCCGAATACAGTCCATTTTAGAGAAATTATGTATATAATAAAAATTATAGAGAATTATATTACAAACAACTTTTATTTGAACAATTTTTATAAAAAATGATTTTTTTTACATTTTGTCAAATTTGTCGAATACGGACCATTTTAGGAAAATTTTGCATAGAACAAAAATTATAGATAATTATATTAGAAGTAACTTTTATTTGAAGAATTTTCTTCTCCAAACGTAAATAACATATATTTCATAAAATATAAAAAATGACCACTAATAAAGTACCCCCCTAGATGTTCCGACTCTGCCCAAAATCTAATCTGTTCATTAGACGCTGGAATAAAGCTTAAGTTTAAAATTTGGTGTTTTTCTGTGTATCGGTTCATGAGTTATGCGACATACAGACACACACAAACACAGACATCATCGCGAAAATAGTCAAAACGGATTCAGGGGACCTCAAAACGTAAAAATCCGTCGAAAACTCGAGGTCGAAAAAAATCATGATTCCTATACTTTCCTTAAATCTGTATACAGATAGGAAAGTAAAAAGAATCATATAAATAGGATAAGGTGGTAAAGCATTATCGCTAAACATACATAAAAAATGAAGAGTTTGAGGATTTTTTTATGGACCCAATTATTAGATTTTGATCAAATTTATATGGGACCACCCCTGAAGTACAGCCTTTCTAACAAAAAAGAATCATTGAAATCGGACACCGTTTTAAAGAATTATCGCTGAACATACATAAAAAAAATTGCGACGAATTGAGAACCTCCTCCTTTTTTAAAGTCGGTTAATAAAATTTCTTATAAATTTGCCTATCCAACGATACCAACATGTTAGCCAATACCACACATACAGGGAGTCCCATCAGTGCGTAATTGATCGATAGCTGTTCTGTTATTGGAAATGCGAAAAAATTTTGAATATAAAAGTTGTATGACCATACTTAACAATTATTCTTAAATATACAGGGAGGTCCATAAACGAGGTACTGACTATACTTTCTTAAAGCAAAACAAGTAGTTATACATATTTGATTGTTTTCATATTGTCAAACAATTTTAATTGACTTCATTCATTTGCTATGTTGTATATTGGGTGTGTCAAAACACGAAGTTACTATTTTCTCAATTTTTTTTAAATAAAATACCCTATATTAATTGGTGATATAACATGCAGGGTATTTATTCTATTTAAACAATTGATAAAATCGCAACCTCGCATTTTGAGACACCCCATATACAACATAGTAAATTAATGAAGTACTTTAAAATTGTTTGACGATGTGAAAACAATAAAATATGTATAACTACCTGCAGGGTGTTTGCTTTAAAAATGTATAGGTTTGGTCTGCCCCTCGTTAATGGACCACACTGTATATTTAAGAATAATTGTTAAATATGATCAAACAACTATTATATATTAATTTTTTTTTCGTATTTCCAAAAATAAACAGCATGAATAGGTAAATTTATAAGGAATATTATACTAAAATAATATACATTTGAAAAATAGAGTAAATTGAACTTAAAAATAGCCATATTTAAGAAATGTATCAAAACACTCTGTATAGAATAATCCAGTTCAATTACCACTATTTGTTAGCTTTGTATCTCATAAGTCTGTATTTTAAAATTTTGAAATTTTTGTAAACCTACATAAATTATGATAATTTGGGGTCTGCATCACTTGCCAGGCAAAAACGCAACACCCTGATAATCAAAATTATTTTTAAAATACACACTAATGGGACAATCTGTATAATATTTATACATTTAGCTACGTGACATGAATAGTTCCCGTCGTGTCTGAAGTTAGCGTATGTCGCGGCTTTTGCTACTCTTGTCGATCTGTAATATAGTTTTGATTTCTCAGATTTTAAGTTGGCTAATTGTGATTATTTTGACCCATTTCATAGGTTAAAAGAATAAGTTACTGATGTTATCTTGGACGATGGAAAACATGTTTATATTTTATCGTTGAAGGTTTGCTAAATTTATTTAGTTTTTTTTATTATTACATATAATTCCATGTCCATATCTCACTGGTTCTTCCGTTATACAGATCTTTACTTATTGTCAATAATTAATTTTTTACTCAAAAATATCTAGTGAATATTTTTTTCTAGCGAACAAGCATTTGTTTACATTTATGAGTCAGACTTGATGTCGCGTCTAACTTCTAATTCACTTAATCCCTATAAATCACACTGTATAATCAATCCTATTCTTTCATCACTTATCAAGCCCACTCTTTGTTGATATTACGTCCAAACTCGTGTTTTCCTGATGTTAAATAACACCTTAAGAGGGGATCATTACCGAAGAAATGGTAATAGTCCTTCTGAAGAGAGAGAAAGTACTCAAGCCATCGAGGTGGTACCATACACGCTACGGTTGTATCCGAAGAACCATTCCTTGAGTATCGCGAAGACTTGAACTTGCAGGTGATAGTAAAAGATAAAAGTACCTTTTCTCAGCGACAGCGCGACGACATGGCGTTCAAAACGCTTTTAGTGCTAGTACTATGTTTTGCCGAAACGGTTTTTTCTAATACTACCACTAGTACTGCCATCCCTTACGATGACAGCCAAATAGATTATAGTGAGGGTACTTCGGTCGAGGATAAGTACTCTTTACCCCCTGAAAATGTCGGCGTGAGTGGTGCCAGGAATAGTACCCAAGTGGTGACGAGTTTGGCTAGAATTTTGGATTTTTACAATACTGAACTTTTGGCTGGTGATTTTCCGAGATTTAAGGGTGGTTTGAGTCACGGGTGTCAGAAGGATGTGGAGACGTACATTGTGGGATTGACTAAGGCAGAGAATTGGGCTTTAAAAAGTAAGTACCTAACTACTCTAGTTATAAATGTAAATATTTAAGAGATTGTGTAGACGTTTAGCAGAGTGCTTTAATGTTAAAAAAACCAGTCAGACAATTATGGTTTATTTATATTTCTCCTCAAGCTTTACCCTTGTTAATTGCATTAAATAATTATGATGTGCTGTTTTTTTTTTATGAATTTATTTTTATTTTATAAATTTTGAAAAATCTTTATTTAAGTCAAAATTAAAGTACTTATTTGTGTAAAGCATCAAAGGGTTAAAAACTCCCTAACAAGTTTTACAACTCTTTATTTCGTCCTATGTTCTTATTAAAATTATTTCTAGAGGGTTGCTTGATCAATTTTGTTATAGCTGTTGTTAGACCCATGAATTTTAGTCAGCTGCCTTCCGAACATCAGTATGTGATTATTTTTGCCAGTAATATGTTTACTTTTGCAGCAGTTTTGTAATGCCGGCCGGTAAGCAAGTATTCGGTTTTACCAGTAGGAAGATTTTAGATAACTAAGGTTATCTACCTTATTTTCTGTGAAGGCGCTGTTTCTGTTTCCCAGTGCGTCTTTACGAACATATCGCATGGTATCATTGTATGCAATTTATTGCAATTACGTCGAACAATGTTTACGAGTCGTAGATTAGAACAAACTCCAAAAATTAAAAACTCCTGTCTAGACTTATCTACAGTATTAAGAAGCACAAATGAATTAGTCATAAGTTTATAATAGCAAACTGGCCAATAGCATTACCTCGCGTTTTTTTCACAAAATTATATAGGGTGTAACAAAAAGACGTACAGTAAATTTAACCACAATTTCTGGGGTCGAAAATAAGTGTATTCAAGCTAACTTGCTTCCATAAAAAATGAATAGAAAAAAAGTTACAGGGTTTTAAAGTAAAAATTTTAATATATATTTTTTGCTCTTACTCTAAAACGGATTAAAATGTTTTTATGAAAATGTATATGAGTTAATTCTATAGCTTTTTACTTTTGTAGATAATGAAATTCAGTTAAAACCAGGACGCCACTGAAATTTTACGTTTTTAAATTTCTTGTCTCTTAGAAAAAGCCTTAATTATTGAGTTATATGCCCTTGAAGGAAGGTAATAGTAAAAAATAATGAAATTTATCTATTGATTTTATATCACTGAATATTTGTTCACGAATTTTTTTATTATTCTACAACTTCAGAATGATTGATAATACAAGAGAATCATTGTAAATGAAGTTGTAATATAGTAAACAAAAATCGTGACCAAATATTCAATGGTTTAAAATCAATAGAAAAATTTCATTATGAATATTATTCACTATGACCATATTTCAGACTTTCATAAACAAAAGACAAAAAAAAGTACAAACTGATATAGGGTTTCAGTCACATCCTGTTTTTAACTGAATTTACTTGTCTAAAAATATAGGGGATGAAAGGGTGCAATACCCTCCCAAAAAAATTACTTCTAAAATGTCGACTTTAACACTCTGTCACTTTTTGCTAACCATTTATATAAGCAAATTGGCTTAAATCGGTTTATTTTCGATCCTAGAAACTGTTGTTAAATTTACTGTATATTTTTTTGTTACTCCCTGTGTAAGACAAAAATCGCCCATTCTTGACAGTTTTATTTACAAGATCTATATTTTCATATACTATCGCTACTATACAGAATGAACTGTCACTTGATCTAATAAGCTCTACTTAAACCAATTGAAACAAAGCAATTTTTTAGTAGAAATGTAGATTAGGTTCTTTTTGAAAACTTTAAATTGCGGTTTTTGGTCGCTTAATATTTATAATATTATAAAAACAATCTAGGAAAAGTAAGATAATACAACGTTGGTGTCATAAGATACATCTATTAGCAAAACAATCAGTTAAATAAACTTTACCAGTGGCGTACAACACTTTCATCCCCTCTAAATTTTACGCTTTGTCCAAAAACTTACTTGGACTATACTTTTTTCATGTTTTTTAAATAAATCATGTACTCTTGTTGGGAACTCATAAAAAAATCCAAAATTGCAAAATGAAAAAATTAATTAAATTGATGAATATCCACCTTCGAGTGTGAATATTCCGAAAACCAGTCACTTTATGAGTTCCCAAGAAGAGTACAAGGTACAAGATTTAGTTAAAAAACATCAAAAAATGTAAAAGTATAGTCCAAATAAGTTTTTGGATAGTGGCGCAAAATTTAGAGGGGATGCAAGTGTTATTTATCTGTGTTGCACGCCATTGCTAAAGTTTATTTATCTGATTGTTTTGCTGATAGGTGTATCTTATGACACCAACAATGTTTACAGAATTTAGTAAAATTATACTGAGAAATAAAAATATTATGGCCATAAATAATTTTTGGATTTTCAACTTTAACACCCTGTATTTCGGAAACCAGTAATATTTTATCTGATTATGTTTCGTTTAATCGTCTTATTTTTAATCAGATAATCTTAAGTTGTTCTGTGTCCCATTCATAATGAGAAACTCTGTATAGTAGTTTTTTTTACTGTAATTTTAAGAAATAAAAAGTGACAAATTTGATAGAAATAGTTTAAAAATAAAACTAATAGCGTGTATGGGCTCCTCTAACTCGCCGAACTTCTGCACACCGTCGAGGCATGCTTTCAATAACATTTCGAATAGCTTCTTAACCCAGCTGTCCCCATTCTTCCACGAGAACTTCCACGAGTTGTTGTAGGTTTCTTAGTAACTGGCGATCCATTAAGAGCTTCCTAAGTATCCCAAATGTGTTCAATGGGATTTAAATCGGGACTCCTCGCTGGCATCTCCATCACTTGAATATCGTGGCCAGTAAGATAATTTTGCACTGCTCTGGCCACGTGCGGTCTCGCATTATCGTGCTAAAGGATAAATTATGGACCCATATTTTCAGCGAATGGCACAATATGTGGTTCCAAGAGTTTCATTGATGTACCTCTCTGCCGTCATCGCCCCTCGCCGAATAAATACTAGGTCAGTGCGGCCAGTTAAAATTATTCCACCTCACACCATAATTGAGCCACCTCCAACAGTCTGACTTTCTTGAATTGTGGAATCCAAAAAGCGCTCGCCTGGTCGTCTCCAGACTCTAACACGTCCATCAATATGATTTAAAAGAAAACTGGACTCGTCAGTAAACATTACGTTACTCCATTGTTCTGTGGTCCAATTAATATGTGCTCTTCTGCAAACAAGCGTCTGGTTCTACGATGTTCAGGCCTCGAAGCTTGCATTTTTGCATTCAACCCACGTTCGTGAAGCCGATTACTTATAGTATGAGTACTTAGTCTTGTACCCGTAGTTTCTTCCAATTCATTTTGTAGCATTCGAGCAGTATTTCGACGTTCCCCAACGCCCCAAAGTTCTAGAAGTCGATATTCTCTAGCTGTAGTCGTCCTTGCTTGGTTGACTTCTAACAATTTTATACATTTCAAATCTGGTCCAGGCTCCATTTATCGCAGCACGATTAACATTTAACATTTCTGCTGTACGGCGTCTTGCGTAGCCTTCTTGAATCAAAGTAACTGCCCTAGCAATTTGAATTTCTGTAAGATGCACTCTCCACCTTCGTGGCCTTCCAAGCATATCAAACTCCATAGGTTCTTAAAAATTTACTCGACAGAATTTCAATACGGAATAAATAAATGTACGATTACAAATGTATCATGTCTTGCTTTTTATCGAATACAAGAAAAACAAAGAGAAGAAGCTATTTTTTCTTTTGTATATTATACATACATTTTTAAGTTTACATCTAGCGTAATAAAAAAATTAAATTAAAATAGGGAGTTCTTTTTAGTTTTGATCGATATTAAAATGTAATAAAAACATACAAATTTAAGTTTACTTCACTCAGGGTGTTTCCTAATTGCGTACATTAAATTTAAGGGTGTATTCTTGAGCTAATTTCATGAAAAAAAGTCCATATAAACATGGGTCCGGAAACGCTTTGTTCTAAAGATAAAAATAAATTGGAAAGAAACCCCTCGGGACGGCACTGGACCTAAATTTTAACTTAGGGCTAAAGCAGGCTTTTATCACTAAAGATAAATCTGCTCAATATCAAAAAAATAAGTTAAATGACATTTTAAAAAAATCAATTTTTTAAAAAAAGTACACCTTGTATCTTTAGAACAAAGCGTATCCGGACCCATATTTATGGACTTTTTTTTATGAAAAAGAGATATTAAGATATAATTAGGGTAAATGGAAAAACTATTGTCATGTAATCAAAAAATCAAGCGACCGAAATTAAAAGCACTTAATTCCATACAGATACACTCAAAGCTTGTATGGAATTGTTTGGAAGCCTTATTAGAGCTAGGTAGTCAAAACAGACTAACCTTAGCCTGGGTACCAGGCCAAAGATGATATAAGGGCAACGTAGAGGCTGATTTACTAGCTCAAGAAGGAACCTCAAAGTCTTTTATGAGCCTCAAGTGCTCTTATTGGCCCAGAACCCTTCTGTGGTGTCACAAAGACAGCTATCAGAACATGCACCAGGAAACCTGGAAAAAATCACCAGGGCAGAGAGAGGCTAAAGAGTTCTTAGAAGGACAGTCGCCAAAACTCATCAAGCATCTACTAAGCCATAATAGGAAAAATACTAGAGTTATAGTAGGCATATTAACAGGACATAGTAGGCTTAACAAACATATGTATAATATCGGTCTGGCAGAAGAAACCTTGTGCTAATTTCGTCAGTAGACCAGGATATTGCAGTACTCGTATTGTTCTACTGTGAAGGTCTACCAAGACTGAGATTCCTTACAATTGGAGAGGAAAAACCAAGGGCAACTAGCTACACTGGAGCAGTACTTCCCAGTCTATGAAGCCTACTACAGAGGACCCAACTATACAAGGTACTCTAAACAACATTTAAATGATATCCACAATAATTCTGAAAAGGTAGAGATGATATTATTCTTTACTCTGGCCATTAACTGCTGGACTGTATTTAATAGTGCAGTTCCTAATGTGGTGCTGGAAAACAGTAACA